GAAAAATAATAATAATAATAATAATAATAATAATAATAATAATAATAATAATAATAATAATAATAATAAGATAGTACACAGACAAATATGAAATTGTTCATCTAACCACATACATTAGTCATACAAAAATGCATAACATTTTATTTTTATTTTTTGGTAAAATAACTCAGAAGAACATGATTGAAAACGTAGTAGAATTTCCAATTGACTTCATTTAAAATGATTTTGTTTAATATATATTAGGGACTAGGGGAAAGATTTTGTTTTACCATTTTTATATCTGGTCAGCACAGATTCGACCTTCAATTATTTAATTTTTAACAAATTGTATCACCTAAAAAGTCATTATCTACGACACAACTTGAATAGTCGTGTTTTTAAATATAATAATAATTATGTACAAAATGGATCTAACATGTCTAAATCCCTCTTGCTTAATTAATGTGATAATCATAGGTGGATCCAAATCCTTGTATTTAATTTTAAAATCTTGAAAGAAATTGTTATTCTTGTGATCCCACTTTAAGTTTTGTGACACTATCACTACCAACAGTAAGCTTCATTAATTAAGCTGTGTCGTGGCAGTTTTTGTAGCCTAAAACTATTTAATATGCATGACTTTAGAGCCGAAAGAAAAAAGAAAAAAGTTAAACACACTTAAAAATTGTTAAAAAAAAAATGAGTGGTTAGTTAGTTTGGCTGCTCGTTAAGGCTCGTCTCATCTCGACTCAGCTTGTTTGAGTAAAGACTCGAGCTCGAGTTCTTTTAAAGCTTAGTTAACAAACGAGCCTAGTTCTCATTACGAAAATTAAAATTCGCATCTAAGTTTCTGTAGCTCGACTCATTAAGACTTGATCGACTCAGGAATATTGATACACAAGTTAAGCGCGAGCATCTTTAGTTAACTCGGCTTAAATAGAAAGTGAAAGACTCGACTCGTTTACACCATTAAATTAATCATAATATGGACACTTACAAAAAAGGGAAGAACAATGAACAATGAAGATAAAACACTCATAAAACCATTTACTTATATTATAACTATAAAGTTAATGAACAATGGGGGAAGAGAAAAAGAGTCTAATAATAATAAATAGTCTACATGAATCAAATGCTATAATTTATAATATATATTGATATCGAATGACAACTTCATGAAGTAAATGAGCTTTACGGAAAAGCAAAGGATGGGACAAAATTTGAATGGTCTTATACCTAGAAAACGAGCAAAAACTTCCCGGGAATTTAGGAATAAAAGAACTCTTCCACTAACACCCATGTTGATCTTTTATTTCTTTTTAATTTCTTAATTAGATGATTTCTCTTGAATGATAACCTTTTAAAGGATGATTGAATATATTTTAATATCCAACACTTTCCTTCCATAGTAAAATTGTGACAAATACAATTTGGGTGGAGACAAGGAACACTTTAAATGTAAAAATTAATATATATGATTTGATTAATAACATAATATTTAAAGTTGATGTTTTATGAGGTGGTGATATCATATTTTAAGAAAATGATTTTTTTGTAATATCTAAGTGAATTAATAGTGAATTTATTGAAAATATGTATGCTATATTAGAAGTTGTTTTGATGGAGAGGCGATAAATTAAAAGATGAGAATAAATTAATGAGTCATGTGTTTCGAACAATATTTATATCCAATTATATTATTATGTGAAAATGTTTATATCCAATCATATCTGAAAGTAAGGCAATTTTTGGGGATAAAAGCCGACTGTTAGGCAAGTCTAACATTTAGACAAAAATAATATTTCTTAATAAACATGCATGTTTTTAAATTGAAATGTCATGATATATAGAACAACATAAATTAAAATTTAACATTTAATAGCTTGAATATGTACTTTATTAAAAAAAATAAAAGTATGTAATCATGAAACCATAGGGGTTGTTTTATATTCTTATAATGCTTTATGTATAAGTTAAATTTAATTAGGGCCTTTTAATCATCATCATTATTGTTATTGTTATTATTATTCGTGTTGGGGAGCGTGTAAGAAATTTTTGTTGGGTACAAAATAAATTACTGTATTGTCTTTAGTTAATATAGTTTGCACTCAAACCCAATTAGGTGAACAGGCACAATCAATAAACTCTCAAGCTTCTAAAAATAATAATTTCCTTGCAAATTTTGATCATTCTCTCATGATTCTATAGTTAATTAACTATTCCATACCGTTCTCTTATATATGAATGCAAATAGTGATAATAATAAACTTTTTAATATATCCAAAAACTAAAACCTCAAAAATAACAAATTATTAACACAATTTTGGTGGAGATTCAAAAGAACACAAATGATTTGTGTAAGCATACTTCAATTCATTCTCATCCAATGAAAACAAATGGAGTTGTTGAATACATGGATTATCAATATAAAACATATTCATCTTAATATTAAAAAAAAATTACTGCATAGTTAAAATATTAGCTTTGTGTCATTCTTTACTTGCTTTCTCATGTGCTAACCTCGTGCTTAGATTCCTAATAAACATCCTTATTACCTAAATTGAGTGAAATTAATTTCATAATCGCCATGCCAAACTAAAGACACAAGCAAACATGTGGAAACAAATCCGAATCACAATATGGCCTGCAGTCACGCGACATCACGTGATCTCACGATTTATTTTATTAGATGTATTAGAAAACATTTATGGAGAAATTGAAAATGAAAAACAGTTAAAACTAAAAACATACACTCCCATTTTTTCTTCCTCGTGCTTTTCTTTTCCCGTTTTTAGAATCGGTTGATTTCTTTTAGCAGAAAATGATTCCAACTTATGATAAAGTAAAATCAAGAAAATTATGAAGAAAAAAAACATAGATTAAAATATATATATATATATAGAAAAATATATATATAGAATAGATTTAACCCCGTATCATTCAAACGAACCATTATAATTAAAGAATTATAAAATTAGAGTACGATGGTCACACACAATTATCTTCAACCTTTTTATTTTTTTTTTTGCACCAAACACCCAATTCAAACGCAAAAAGTATTTTACCAAGTGAAATAACTGAGTCGATCGGTCATACTGTTTTAATAAAAATGTATATTTATATTATAAATTATCATATTTTTATTTATATTTTATAAATGTTCCGTTTGTTTATTAGATGATTTATGCTAAATTTGTAGATTTGATAACATTTAGAGGTTTGACAAATTAATTTCTTTAATTAGCTTGTTTGATTATGAGCTTTTTCGATAATTTTGTAGGACTCAAAATGTTATGTCTAAGAAAAAAAAAAAGCAAAAGAGCAACGTTTTGGAAAAATTAATTTCAAAAAAGACAGTACAATGTAACAACTATAAATTTTTGTTATTTATCGAACACTTATTTGACTAACTGGTAATTGAATCCTTTATTTACCAAGATTGGATGGGATACCGGCCTTAACCAGTCTTATCTTGCGTTTACTATACATGATTGGGACTAGGATTTAGCCCATGTGGCATGTATGTGGCAGGTGGGTACCATGCGGAGATGCATATATGGCTGAATAATTCAATCCCATCAAATAGGTGGGATATTGTTATTCCACTAATGAAATGGTCATTTTTTCACTTAAAAATAATTTATAATATATATATATATAAATATATATATATATATATAAATAATTTATAATTTAAAAATATTATTTCATATAAATAATTTTATTAATTTAAAATATTTATTTAATTTAATTTAAAATATATTAATCTAAATAATTTTACTTAATTTAAAAAATATTATTTAATCTAAATAATTTTATTTAATTTAAAATAATATTATTTAATTTTAAAATCTTGTTTAATTTAAATAAAATAAAAAATATTGTTTAAATTAAAATTATTTTAATTAGTTTAAAATAATATTATGTAATTTAAAAACTATTATTTAATTTAAAATAATATTATTAAATTTAAAATATTAATTTAAATAATGTTATTTAATTTTAAAAATATTAATTCAGAATAAATAATATTTTTAATTTAAAATAATTAGTTTCATCATGGAAACTTTATATACAAACTTTATTATACTTAATTTAGAAATTATTAATCTTTAAAGAAGAGGGTGTATATTTGTCTTTCAATTGAAATCAGAATTTTTTTATCACCATTAGTAAATCCTTGATTAGATTCAAGATAAAATGTATCATGTTTTGTAAACATGATACAAAAGCTGATGTGGAAATTTGATGGATAAAACTGTCTTATCTGTTAGAATATACACTTATGAGTTGTCCCACATCGTCTGTACAGGGAAAATAAATCTAACTTATAAGCCTAGTCGGTTACTCCTCCTACCACCAATTGGTTTTGGGATGGAATCCCACTAAGGCCTATCCAGACTCACCCTGCTTTGGTGCGCTTCACGTCCGTGGGACCGTACCCGTCAACCCCCGTTTCTTCATGGTATCAGAGTCGGTTCACCCAACCCAAAATCAGAGTCGGTTCACCCAGCCCAGTTGGGCTTGGGCCTACGTGGGACCGTGCAATGACGTACCCGTCACCCAACCCAATTGGGCTTGGGCCTCATATGAAGGACTCACAAGTGAGGTATCAGAGTCGGTTCACCCAGCCCAGTTGGG